AAAAAAAAAAGAAAATTATCAGATGCGGTTGAGGTACGACAATCGCAAGATGCTGCTAGTGCAGTATCTGGAGCAGAAGCCACCGGCCTTCAGGGAGTTGTGGCCCAAAGCTGTTACTTCCCATTTCCCTTTCCATCCACCTAACAACAGCGGCAATATCACAGGCAAAAACAGTACCAACTGCTTAAAAGCAGTTTTTTTTTTTTTTTTTTTTTTTTTTTTTCGGAGTCTTTTTTTGTCATTCATGGCCAGGTGCAGTGGCTTTTTTTTTTTTTTTTCCCCCAACATAAGCCTTTTTAATTTGAAGTGTAGCCTTAATCCTCACGTTAGAAAACCCCATCTTTTTTATCCCTAAGTTCTTTATCAAACCTTTATATTAGAGATATCAATAAGCCTCATACAAAGTCTCATTCAACAGGGTGAATGAGAATGCAAAAAAAAATTAGCTGCCATGCTATGCTGGCACACACCTGTGATCCCAGCTACTCAGGCTGAGGCAGGAGAATCACTTGAACCCAGGAGGCAGAGGTTGCAGTGAGAGCCGAGATCGTGCCACTGCACTCCGGCCTGGGTGACACAGCAAGACTCTGTCTCAAAAAAAAAATTTCTGGCTTCTCCTGTTAGAACCTAGTCCAGCACATGTGCCTGACCAGACATCTGCTGCTCTTGTTTATTAATGCATACAACAAATTCTTAGGTACAAATGACCTCCAAGGTGGCTCTTGCATGCCCCAGGGTCTTAAGAAGCACAGATCTAGGCTAATAAGATAGGAGTGCGCCGAGTACCTGGTTTCCAACTCATTGTAGTAAACCCCGTCACCCTCTCGGAAAATGAAGAAGTAGTTTTCCTCATAGCCTTTGCTAGCTTTGTTCTTCACGTTCCAGTTGTACTCCCGAGCAATTTTGTAGTCATACCTGAGGATGAAGGCACAGCTTCAGCCCCATTTCCTCCTTATGAGGGAGAAAAGGGGACACACTTCTCAATCCCCAAAACTTAACCCCAGCCCACGCACACATCATCTGGTGCATAATCCATCTCCTCCTCCTGGTCACGCTTTCGTTTCTTCAGCGTCTCTTCTACAGGCAGGAAATAGGCCACAAACTGGTTCCCTTCCTCATCCATCATGCCCCTGGTTGGGGAAAAAGGAGTAGCAATGAAGTGTGAGGACAAAAGGCAGCAAGGAGCAGGCTAAGGTAGGCAGCAGGACCACCTACCTAATCATGGCCTGAGACATCATCTCCAACGCGGCTGCACCACTTGTGTCTTTGGGGGCTGGGTCTGAGTCAAAGATTACCTGAGCACATGGATTGATCCACATCTAGGAAGACGGTAGGCACTGGGATTAGATGGGAACAAGCACAAATGGAGGCTGTCCCTTTCTACCTCCCACCCTGGGCCTGACCTTAAAATCTGGGAAGACAGGCATGACCTCCACCGGTGTGACTCTGGGTTTGCTATAATGCTGGGAGATCTGGTGGGGCAAAAACAGGCTGAGGAAGAGCTCTGCAGCCACACCCTTGCCTCTCCCCATCCCAGTCCCTCAATTACTGATTTCTGGGCATCCTCAAAAGTCTTCTCAATGGCTGTGATCTGGCTATCCCTGTCTTTGTATATTTCTTCCTCGGTAAACTGCTGCTTCACGGAAACCCCAATCCTACGAGTGAAGAAAAAGGCCTTTAGTGGCCACTGGACACACCTGGTATCTCCACCTTCCCCTCTTCTTATTTGCAACTTACTTGACCTCAGGCTTCTCATTGGAGATGCCATAACGGTTGAACTCAGTGGAAATGTATTCTGTCTTTCGCATCCATGGCACCACCTTCGCGTGCTGCTGGGATCTGGGGTAGGAAATCAGGTACCTCAGGACCCGACCGCCCTCCTGCTTGTAGGGCCCAACTGAGCCAGTCACCAGTACCCATTTGGCACCCACTCACCTTTTGGAGCTAGTAGGGGCCTGAATCTCCTCTTCCAAAAGTTTCTCATCAGCTGGATCTAGAAGAACTAGAGGAGAGCGAGGGGGCAGGAGGACCATGAGGGAGGCCCAGGCCTGGGCCTTTGCTGACCTAGAGCAGACCCTCCCTGTTTCCCCACACACCATTGGGGTCGATGCGGTAGGTGTCAGGATTGATGAGATCGATGGTGACCCCCAGGTCTGGCTCAGTCAGGAGGTCATGTTTGTGCTGTTTCTCCAAGGAAGTGGCTTTGTACTGGACGAACCTGGGTGGGGAAACACCTATTGTGGTGTCTGGATTCCAGCTTCAGCCCTCACAGCCCTGCTTCCCAGAGGTGAAACTTCTCTGGGGAGGAACTCAGAATGAAGTGTCCCCCATAGCGGAATGTGAAAGCTGGCTCCCCAGTGAGAAGGGACTTGGACACTGCTTGCTCCACTCATTAACAAACATTGAGCAGCTACTACTATGTGCTAGGTGGGTACTGTGCGAGGCCCTGAGCAGACAGGAGCCAACAAGACAAGCAGTCCCTGCCTTCAAGGAACTGATACCTGAGTAGTGTTCCCATTCCTTAGTCTCACCTGTTCTGGTCGAAGGGGTAGGTGATGAACTTGGGATCGAAGGGGATATCAGGGAGGCTATTGCAGTACTTGACTCGGCAGACCACTCCAGACCTAGGAACACAGTGGCTCAAAATGGGCCCCCGCTGCCCCGCCTCTGCTCCCAGCCCTACTGCCCCACCGCTCCTGGGAAAGCACAGTGGGGCTCACCTCTCAGGCAGAGTCCGGTGGGAATTGGGCCTAGTAGAGAAGAAAGAAAACAGTGATAGGTGGAGACGACGGGATTGACAGGAGAATGAAAAAGTCTTCTCCAACCTTTCAAAAGGTGGGAGGGTGACAAATGCTGGTTGGTTTTGGTGGTGGGGGTGGCCAAATGCTTTAATAGAGGGAGACAAATGTTCAATTTCTTTAGGAAGAAGTGCACCCAAAAGCTTTAATGAACAAGGCCAAGTGCTCAATCCCTTTTGCAGGGGATGACTTCAAGTGTTTTCATAAAGAACCATGTACTCAATCGTCTTTGGAAGAGCGATCTTCAAACACTTGACTGGAGGAATCCCTTCTAGAGGTCTCCAAGAGCTTAATCCCTGAATTGCACGGCAGGGGAGGAGGGCAACACCTGCGTCTCAGAAGAAACCCGCCCCCTTCGTCAAAGGTGAGCGCTCCGTGACGTCACGGGCAGACCTGGGGGCTGGTGACGTTGTTCAGCAGAAACCCTTTCCCGATCCCCCGCCTTGATGAAACAGTGAGGAAAGCGTGGCGCCTACCTGTGGCCATCCTCCCGCTGGGCCTGGGTCTGGATGGTGGGCGCCATAGCGACGAGGCGACGGCAGCCCGGACGGGGTCCTAGCGGGGCTGAAGGGGGACGCGGAGGGGCGTGCCGACTTCAGGGGACGCCTGATCCAAGGCAGGCCCGGGTTGGCGCCGCTCTCCGCGGAAAGTGGGTTGAGATGAGGTGGGCGGGCGAGAAGAGCTCCAGCGAAACTCAGGTGAACACTCAGGCAGCACTGGGGACGGACTCGAAGCTGCTGTTCCAACCAACTGCCGCCAAGACGCTGAGGACCCGACGAGTCTCCTCAGGGTGCAACGCCTGCGGGGAAATGAAGTCCGGGTTGGAACCACACATGGATTGGCGAGCGTCTGGGTGAAGGGCGGAGCGAGGGAGAGACATGCTTCTGTGATTGGTGGAAAGATATCTCAGTCTGAACCTCGGATTTGAGAGTGACGGAACGTGAGGGCACCTCCTTCCCTTCCATTGGCTGAATTGCCTGAGAGGCGGGACTATCTAGCAAACGGGGACTAGAGACGGGGATGCTGAAAAGCAACCGGGAGAGACACACTTGTGACGCACTTCCGGCGGTCCGTGAGGAAGATGGCTGCATCCCAACAGCAAGCTTCAGCGGCTTCCTCAGCTGCTGGTGTATCGGGTCCCAGTTCGGCTGGCGGCCCGGGTCCCCAGCCGCAGCCGCAACCGCCAGCACAACTCGTGGGCCCTGCCCAGAGCGGCCTTCTGCAGCAACAGCAGCAGGACTTCGATCCTGTGCAGCGTTATAAGATGCTCATCCCGCAGCTGAAGGAGAGTCTACAGGTGATTGGCCGGAAGCAGCGAAAAACAAACGGGATTTGGTAGTCTAACTTCAGCGGGGCGGGCCAAGGGCCACGTTAGTCGGAGAGAGCGCTAAGCTGAAAGAGGAGTAATACCTGCTGTGTTCGCCTGGCGTGGTGCCGCACGCCTGTGTTACCAGCACTTTTGGAGGCCGAGGCGGGTGGATCACTTGAGGTCAGAAGTTCAAGACCAGCCTGGTGAAACCCCGTCTCTATTAAGAATACAAAAATTACTCGGGCATAGTGGCGCGCGCCTGTAATCCCAGCTACTCTGGAACCTGAGGAAGGAGAATTGCTTGAACCCAGGAGGTGGCAGTGAGCCGAGATCGCGCCATTTTACTCCAGCCTGGGCAACACAGCGAGAATCCCGTCTGAAAAAAGCAAGAACAAAAAAAACTTGTTTTTTTGTTTGTTTTTGAGACGGAGTCTCACTCTGTCACCGAGGCTGGCCTCCGACTCCCGGGTTCAAGCGATTCTCCTGCCTCAGCCTCCCAAGTAGCTGGGACCACAGGCGTGTGCCACCACACCCGGCTAATTTTTGTATTTTTAGTAGAGACGGGGTTTCACTATGTTGGCCAGGCTGGTCTCGAACTCCTGACCTTGTGATCCGCCCACCTCGGCCTCCCAAAGTGCTGGGATTACAAGCGTGAGCCACCGCGCCCGGCCCTGTTTATTTATTTATTTTTGAGACAGAGTCTTGCGCTGTCACCTAGGCTGGAGTGCAGTAGCATGATCTTCGGCTCGCTGCAACCTCCACCTCCCAGGTTCAAGCGATTCCCGTCTCAGCCTCTTGAGTAGCTGGGATTACAGGGGGCACGCCACCACGAATTCCTGACCTCGTCATCCACCCGCCTCAGCCTCCCAAAGTGCTGGGATTACAGGCGTGAGCCACCCCGCCCGGCCAAAACCTGTTTTATGTGAGACCTAAGCGAAGCTCGGCAGAAATGGCATCAGCGCTGATGTTGAGGCTGGGATTGGCCGGAGCTTGCGTGAAGGGTTGTTTAAAGGAGAAACTGGGCTGTGGTCATTAAAGGCTGAGGAGAGGACTGGCTTATACAGAGATTCTGCCCTTGATTGCTAGATGAGGGAGGATGCTTAGGTTATTGGCGAGAAGCGCAGGTGAGGGCAGGCCTCTGGGAAGATGGAGTGGTGACAGCTGTAGGAATGGAAATAAGTACGTATTACTTTGGAAAGTCAAGAGAGAAGGTGCCAGGTGAAATGATGGCCTGAGATTGTGTGATCTTAAGGAACAGTGTAGATCTGCCAAAGATACTCCCTTTTGTTTTTCCACCTCCCACATATTTTGTTTTTGTTTTGACTAGACCTTGATGAAGGTTGCAGCCCAAAACTTGATTCAGAACACTAACATCGACAATGGACAGTGAGTACAGCCCCCTTCCCCAGGATATTCTATTTTCACTCCAGTCTTTGAAGTTCATCTTTCCTTCTCCCTGCTGCCTGCCTACCTCACCTCCTATGATTTTTTTTTTTTT